CGACCTTCCACTCGCAATGGTAGCCACAATTCTATCAGACCAATTTTCCGGTGTGCAGTGGCGTTGTGGCGCGCGTGTCATTTCATACCATTGTATCAGTCGTAATTGCAGTTACATGGCGAGTGTTGTGTCTTTACGTATGTATGTACATGTCATGCACGCACGCTAGCTGCGGTTTCCCGCCGGTGTAGCTGTCGTCAGTTGCGCTGACAATCCGAACCGATGCGGTTATCATTGTCACTGGCACTCGCATCGGGACATGTTTAGTCACGTACATTCCAGGACTCGTAGCCATCACCGGGCTGTTACTGCAGCACTGCAGTAGGTGCAGTAGCCGTCCGTGTAACACTGCAGCCTACACTGTACCGGAACTGACCGGTTCCGGCGAGCGCTTTTAACCGATCGGCCATGCTTCTCATCGGCGTCGCATTTCACGACCGAACTGCCCGTCTGTCAGGTGTGAAGTGCTCATGGAGGCCATCGAGGAGTTCAACAACAGCACGTGCCTGCTGTGGGAGCCGGCGAAGGACTCAGACAAGTACGCCGTCAGCATTCAGCTGAAGAGGCACGGCGGCTGCTACTCCTCCGTCGGATACCAGGTGCGTGCCTCTCGCCGCTGTCACCGCCACAGACACTGGCACGGTTGGACTGCACACGGAGTACGGGACACCCTTCAAGCTCACACACCAGCCGGCGGGTGCCGGGCACAGTCGCTTGCTTACCCTGACCATCAGCAGTGGATTCTTTACGCCTTTGAATCCACAGTGGATTGAAACGGACAACAACGCGGAAGGCTTTGAATCACAGCCGGTGAACCTGTGTTTACGTCATCATAACTCAAATGTCAGGCTCTATGCCGGCGGCTGAGCAGTCCATCGCGTTACCAGTTTTACAGGGCATCTTAACCAGCTCATGACCGCCAAAGCGGTAGAGAGTTAGGAAACTGTCAGCTCTCTTCTACTGCCTGTCAACCAGCGACTAGTAGCCTGTCGACTAGGCCGTCAGCTAGTTGGATCACTGGTTAGCGTTTGCTTCAACAAGGACATCGGGCTTTGCTAGTTTTAGTCAGGAACGACGAATTAGGGAGCATCATAAAGGCTCTATCCCGCCCAACGTCCCTCAAACATGGCTGTCGCGATACCAGCCAACGGTAAAATGCTATGGCCGCGATCATTGGGTGCCGCACCGTCGGTCGGGGACGGAGTCAACATTTAGAGAGCAAGGCGCCCCGCTGACCAGGCTGGCGGCGGTGACTCACCACCCTCAAGTGGGCCGGCCGCCGCCAGCTCTGCACACCGTCCGCCCGGCGGCCCGCTCCGTCGGATAGCTGTCTCTGCTGCGGCCTTGGAGCGGCGCCTGCAGAAGCCGGCCTCGCGGCACACGCTGGATGTGTGCGCCACCCTGCCGGGGCCGCCTGCTGTCCTGTGGGGACAGCTCGTCGCGCTGACGGGACAGGGTGGGGCGCCACTGCCCTGGAGACAGCCGGACGGTGCGCGGCGCCACTCCGCAGGCGTCGCAGCCGAGGCGGCCGGACGGCTGACGGCACCAGGGGCCGGAGCGGGCCGGCCGGCTGACGGGCGCGCCCCGCCGCCGCTCCCGGAGAGCCGATGACTCAGC